CTACCGAACAAAACGACCAATCAAATTGTATGTTATATTAATTAAACAAGATCCAAATGAAGATTCTTTTTTTTAATAGACCTTTTGACCAGTACAGCCGCCATTGTTTTAAGTATCCCTTCAGTACGAATCACTGGACCAAAAAAAAAAGAAAATTATTGAGTTAGCWAAATWTCATTTCTTAAAACGTGAAAAACAAAAAAAATATAACACATTTAAATGTTATGAAGAATTAAACTTAAATCTTAAAGCAAAGAAGTAATAAAAGAAAGCATTTTTTCAGTAGCATTCTAYGTAATGATGTTTACTTTTTTGAGGACCCTTGACATCCCGTGATTTATTWAAAATTCAAGATTCCGGCCTTATCGGTAAAAAGRTCTATTGTTTATAGCTTGCACAAGCTACCTAGGRTACTGTTGAAATGTCTCATGGGTATTCTTYCACGTGATATAATTGTACCAGAATGCTTTGCTCTCAATGTCTGATCAATTTTAAGTATGTATGCTGACGCCTACTTTCATCAAGGTCTGCGTATAATCCCGTCGGGGGTGGTGACGTGTTGTCAGCAGGATTCAGGTATTCGGGCTGAACGTCATCATATGCAGACGTAGGGTCGTCATTATTGACATCGGCGTAACTGTCTGTTTCAGGTGTTTCGATATTAATTACTTGTGATGATCTGAAACAAATATTATAAATAAGTCCTTTTTAACTCGAAGATTGCTAAGCAATCGTAGAGTTATAGGATTGAGATAGATGATGTGTGTTAGGTGGACTCGTTAATAAGTCACTATTTTTTTTCTCCTGTAAACATACGGGCATTTAGAAATCTGTAAGCAAGATGGCGGACGACTCGGTGTTTTCACGTTTTGGTACARAAATGGCTTTTAAACGCACAAAATGTGATTTTTGATATAGGTCTGGAAGTTCTTGTACGAGCTTCTTAGCAATATATTTTTTGATTTCAGAAGTCGATTTAGGATGAGATATCGTGTCAATCGTGTCAATATGGCACATAGATACAGAATTCTATTACGATGATTTCAARGATTATTCCGATGCACGTCGTTCAGTCAGTATTTAATACTCATCAATAGTCTCCTTCACGGTTCCCTGCGCCATCTNTTAATTTCTCCAATAATCTTAATTTGTATGTTACGCCATATGGCCTCTCCATTTTAACAAATGTTGCAATGGATTCTTATTTTCTTAATTTTTTCCTATTTGTGCAAGCCTTGTAAGGCGTGGCAAGGCTCTCGCTGCAAGGCTTTCCGACTGAGTAATACTTAGCAAGATGCTGGTAAGCGCTGCATGGTATTATCATTTTCCAGAAAATTCTTGCTCATGCGGTTGTATCTTCTTCCTCGCTGTACCTGCTGTTGTTTATCGGCTTCTACCGATGTAAACGAGATTGCTGTTTGATGATGTTTTAAATGAAAACATTTTCATTGTTTTTCGTCCTTTCAGTTATTTAAATTATATTATTATTCACTTACTTTGCGTGGTTGTAATTGCGGTAGTTCGTTCAATACTATATACTTGTACTGGGAGAGTTGTCGTGGCATCTATCTTACTTGTTGTGGTTGTGATAACCGTTGTAGGTATGTTAACTTCAGTGCAAGATGTCAAACGAATCTTGCTTGATGAATTACTCCAGCAAACTGGATTAAGACTTGTATTGACTTTATTCCCTGATCAATGACAAGATTTATAATAATCAAATGCATAATTTACAATATTCGAGTGTACGTTGAGTACTCAGAATCTACATTTGAAAACTACACTTGTATTGTTTACACTACTTATATTCCTCAATTCCTACCTACCTGCATCATATTCACAAATGTAAGGATGTTGAAAAAAACAATTTACGTCTTTAATGAACCCGTACTTGCCCTTTGGCCAGTTTTTAGATATTACAACACAATAATCATCATAACGGCCCCTATTATTTGGCTCGTTACGCTGCCATTTGCTGTTAATCGTCAGTTTTTGTCCACTTGTCCAACTCCAACCTGCTTTTCGTTTGTCCTCTAATGAATTGTACTTTTCCAATTCTTTCCTGGCAATGCTTAATCCTATAAACCAGTCATTGTTTATATTTGCTGTAGAATTTATTTTCTGTATCTCACTCGTTATAAAGTTCCATTCATCTTCTGTTTCCATGGATACCAATGTCCCATTTCTGGTTTCGCAGTCTTGGTTGCTTTCTGCCCAGCGGTTTCTGTTCGTATCATGAAACGTGTAACACGAACAGTGTGCTAAAAATAGAAACATGCCAAAGTTATGCACAAACTTCCATATTTCCAATGTTCCAATTGCCGAGTGACTTAAGCCGCGCCTACACGAGCGATTTTTGGGTACGTTGAAAGCTAACATAGAATTTGACTGAGCTGTTTTTGTACATATACCTCGTTATGGAGATTCCAATAAGTATTTGTCATAATTTTTTTTATAGATACCGCATTGTCGCTTGTGAAGCCTAATCGTGCGCTGGTGATTTTGAGAAAATTGCATCGCCAGCGCAAGCGGAAAATCGCTCGTCTAACAGCGGCTTTATGAAATTATTCACTTTCTGTACGTGAAAATGGTCTCAAATGTCATGTGTGCTAAAATCAATTTATTTTTAGGATTACATAAAAATTATTAGCGAATATCACATCCATTTTATAAATAAATAATGATTTCAACACAAGGGAATATTTTGTTGTGATAGTAGCCTTTGCAGTTGTTTCAGTATTTTCTGTTAGGACAGAAAAAAAAAATCTAGTTTGAAAATATTCCTTAAAAATCGTATTTTATGTTTAGATTTACAGCTTTTAAATGACAGCGAAAGTCCGTCAGTGCTCTCATGAATAATATGAATGCTTACCTAAGCATGAGATAAGCCACAGCTTCCCTTGTAGCAACAAAATGCAAAGCAACGCTCTAGTCAAACCCATCTCCATTGCTTGCAAAGCAATAATACTGAATATATCAATTCTTTTTATCTTCAAAGTCACTTGACGAACCGTAGAAGCATTTCACAATGAGAATTCTTTCACTTTTCAAATAACTGAAAGTCGTATATTGCATCACAAATCATTTAATGGATATAAAAGGAAACATTGGGAAGTTTATTTCTGTCCACAGATCTGAAATGYGATTTAACTTTCAAGAGAATTGTGAATAAGACAATGTTTGATATCAGAAAATACATCGATGTCAGCTGAGATTTCCATTCAGCTCGTGATTCGAAACCTATCTCGTGTTCTCTCTACAATCCCGCGTGTGTTTCTAACAGTGACTACAATTCAAAAGACAAATTTGTCCTCTGCTCTCATTGGTAGAGAGTCGACCACGTGACACCATAATGCCCGCCGGGGATGGT